AAAAAAAACCTATTGTTTATTATTGGATAAATAGACTTAGTCAATGTAAGAAAGAACATATGTAGATCACGGACTACCAACAAGTACACTTAAGATCAGATCCCTACATCTCCTGGCAAACTCAATACTAGAGAATAATAAGCATATTGATTATCTAAAATATAGGACAGTTGTTTTGTTTCCTATAGCCTCCATTTGGTCTGAAATGTTCCTAGGGTCATCACAGTAAACCATTCATTGGCATGTTCTTCCTCATATATTTAACGTGTGATGCAATTTTATTTAAAATCATATCTGGCAACAATGTTTTATGTGGAAAAGCATGTAGCACTGATTACATGCCATTTCAATTATCTTTCTGACTTTACAGAATTCTGCAAAGACATTATCACTGTTTCATTTACTGGTGATATAAAAGTTAGAGCAACATCTAATGAAAAGATATTTCATTGAACTATCTATACAACCAAAATCACTTTCACACTAGAAAGCATTGATTTAAGCTTCAAGTAAAATCTTAGCAACACTTTCATTTCTATAAACATATTTGTTTACTTAAATATTCATTATTCAAACTGTCAAAGAAAGGAATTTTAAATTTCACTTTGCTTCAGAATCATTTGACCTTTCTTAATGATATTCTGCACCACCTGTCACATAATTCCTTCGAGAATCCACCAGCTGTGTTACCTCCATCACACAGACAACATTACTTTTTAACACCTCACCATGGACACATCACCTACACTTAAAAATCATCATACTTTGTATAGTTTCAACACTGCTATAAACAAGCCCTTCCAGTAGGTCCTACAGAACACATTTCTGTGTAACCCTGTATAATCTGAACACCACTATGAACAAGCCCTTCCACTAGGTCCAACGGCACACATTTCTGTGTAACCCTGTATAATCTGAACACCACTATGAACAAGCCCTTCCACTAGGTCCTACAGCACACATTTCTGTGTAACCCTGTATAATCTGAACACCACTATGAACAAGCCCTTCCTCTAGGTCCTAGAGCACACATTTCTGTGTAACCCTGTATAATATGAATACCACTATGAACAAACCCTTCCACTAGGTCCTAGAGCACACATTTCTGTGTAACCCTGTATAATCTGAACACCACTATGAACAAGCCCTTCCACTAGGTCCTACGGCACACATTTCTGTGTAACCCTGTATAATCTGAACACCACTATGAACAAGCCCTTCCACTAGGTCCTACAGAACACATTTCTGTGTAACCCTGTATAATCTGAACACCACTATGAACAAACCCTTCCAGTAGGTCCTACAGCACACATTTCTGTGTAACCCTGTATAATCTGAACACCACTATGAACAAACCCTTCCACTAGGTCCTACAGAACACATTTCTGTGAAACCCTGTATAATCTGAACACCACTATGAACAAGCCCTTCCACTAGGTCCTACGGCACACATTTCTGTGTAACCCTGTATAATCTGAACACCACTATGAACAAACCCTTCCAGTAGGTCCTACAGCACACATTTCTGTGTAACCCTGTATAATCTGAACACCACTATGAACAAGCCCTTCCACTAGGTCCTAGGGCACACATTTCTGTGTAACCCTGTATAATCTGAACACCACTATGAACAAACCCTTCCACTAGGTCCTACAGAACACATTTCTGTGAAACCCTGTATAATATGAACACTTCTATGAACAAGCCCTTCCAGTAGGTCCTACAGAACACATTTCTGTGTAACCCTGTATAATTTGAACACTGCTATCAACAAGCCCTTCTTCTAGGTCCTACAGAACACATTTCTGTGTAACCCTGTATAATTTGAACACCACTATGAACAAGCTCTTCAAATAGGTCCTACAGAACACATTTCTTTGTAACCTTCATCTAGGTCCCATGGTGTACATTCCCTGTGTTACCCTGTATAAGCTGGACATCTGTATAAACCAACCCTTCCATAAGTTACACTGCAGACATCTCTGTGTATCTATATATAGGCTGAACACCTTCATCTACGTCCAGCTATGTATAATTCTATGTAATTTTGATGTGGACACCTGCATAAACCAGACCTTTCCACTTGGTCCCAATGTATTGAACACCAGAATGTGTATTCTGGTCGCCTTGAAAATCCTACATCAGTTAAGTCCTTGGTGAACATTTGTATGTTGTGCATTATCAGCTGAATATCTAGATAAACTAAACCTCCAGCTATTTCCCATCAAGTAAAAATCATTCTGAATTGTTGTACCTTAATAATAATGATCAAATCAATATAGGCATCCTGTTGAAAGACAATCCTGTGCAATTTGAAAATCTATTTCTGAATATATAAACATCCTGTTTGATTTCACTAGTTCTACTCTAAACCATCGACCTAAAATTACTTAATGTATTTTCTCCCCAATAACAGTTAAATAGTTGTCTATAAAGGGTAATGATAAGGCTAGCATTCATCATAAACAGAGTTTGCCTGTGATAATGATGTAAACTAGTTTTTAATGGGTGTTTATTATGTAGGACTCTTATCCTAAACTGTTTACATACACCCCCACAAACAATATATAAAAGCAATGTCACACATATCCTGAATGAGGTAATCATATCAACCAACCCTAAACTTCATATCATTATGGCGTCTGATTAACAGACAAATCCATTCAATCCTTTTCTTATAATGGTAAAATCCTATATCCATCCAACTTTGCTTTAGGTAACTGCTTGACATACCAAGTAATTGTTGATAGTAATTATAAAAGTGTCACACCTACACTGTGTAGGGAACAGGCATCATATTAGTCGTTGATATATCCTTGGTTAACCAGGCTAGATATAGCTGGGCTCACTACCCAAGCCAACAGATCAATCAATACAGCTAAACAAACACATGCTAATTCTCTCCACTTTCCAAAATCTATCTTGTTATAATTCTTACCATCTTGATAATACATATGTAGCCACATTTAAAATGTCAGCTCCCCTTCAAAATATACATGTTTCATACACAAGTCAAAGGTCAGAAGAAAGTGCTTAACATATCTTAAGAGTTATGTCCCTTCCGATGCAAACATTGGCGTAGTCACCCCCATTTCACACCATATTTTTACAATTATGGTCTACACATTTGTGTATTTAATACTTTAATATTGATTTTTCTTTGAATAACAACACTTTGATGTCCCAGGACACCATGAGGTCCATCTTATAATGCTGTAAACTACAGAAGTGTGAATCAGAAATCATGAAATTTAACACTAATTATGTCCAGTCAAAATCTTGGCCCAAGTGACTTAATCCTAAATAGCTGGAAATGAAGAGGTTTCCTATGGTGTTTACTTTATGCATTCTCTAGGTTTTACGTTGTACTAATGTATTAAAAGACTATTTGTGTATTTTTTCCATATCTATTGTGCCACAATGACAGTGAATGAAAATTATACACTAAAACACAAAATCTTTCTATTTTTGACAAAATGAGCATACCATAAATCTGTTAAAACAATTGGGAGCAGTCATAAAGAAATTTAGATATCAATCTTGCAAACAAATCTGTCTGAAAAATAAAAGTCTATTAATAGACTGTCATGTGATTTTCTCTAGATTCATCACTTCCTACATTACAGTACTAACACCATACATGTTTATCACCATACAATGAATTACTAGATCATCACAGCTGTCAGCATAAATCATGTGTTGGGGCTGCAGCTTGTGAGTAGGAAGATTCTCCACATACCTACCTTTACTACATACATGTGTCTCTGGTACTACAGAGCAACCTGTGCCATATCCCTAAGTGACTGTGCCTGCAGCCAAATTCTATCCATTTACTTCAACACAGAGTACAGACTTGGGAATTGCCAAGGGTAGTTTCCTCATACCTTTATACCCAAATGAGCAGTACAACAGTGGTGGTGAAAATGTAATTAACTTATTTCTTGAAATCTGGAATCAATCCTAAGGGAGAACTATGAAACTGTGGTTATATAACTGTCCATGGAATTCACAGATTTACGACCAGAAAACATAACCTGATGCTAGAAGTTTATATAGACTTAAGTATGGACCTAAGGGGTACTAAGAAGTCTTCATCCTGACAATGTGTTACTCCGACACATTGTGGGCAAATCAATAGAAACTTCACACAGGGATTTATTATCAAATCTCACATCTGGCTGGGTGTAGGGATACAGGGGGAGGCCGACAGAGAGGAAAGCTATTCGGGTAGGAACAGATAGGAATTTATTACCAAATTTCATACTTACAGGGAAGTAGGTATGTAAGGTGAGGTTCACAGAGAGGGAAGCTATTCTCAGTAGGAATAGATAGAGATTTATTATCAAATATCAAATCTTCTAGAGACTGAGGGTGTAGGGTGAGGCAGACAAAAAGGGAAGTCTTCCAGGTAGGAATAGAAAGGGACTTATTTTATATAATCCAATATCTAGAAGGGAGTGGGGTGAAGCTAACAGAAAGGGAAGCCATTAGGGTAGAAGGCAAAAAAGGGGTTCTACAGCAGTACATTACAGGGAAATTATGGGGTCAGCCTGTGAGAGTTGATATTGGGTAGTGAAAAAAGGAAGGCATACTGGTATGGGTTTGGGAAATTAATATGGATATGGCTGTGAAGGTTTATCTGATCTACCAGATATATTATATGTGGCAGGACAGGGAGGAGGGTTTATAGGATAAGCAGAAAGGCTGATAGGAATTTATCTGAGGTGGGATGGAACCGATAGATGGGAATATGAGGGTGCTGCAGGAAAAGTGGAAAGGATCACTCTCAATGAGCAGGTATCTGAACTTCAAACACTGTCATATTTGGAGTTGTACAGGGAAACATCTCTAAACGAAACTGAGTTGGACACTGACCAACTGTAAAGTGTAAGCTAATACCTTATCCATTAGTAGAGCTCAGAATTAAACAACAGCTGCTTAACATCCAAACTGAAGAGAGACAAGGACAGTGTGTATAGGAACAATCAACATTTACTTACATTGACAAGATTTGTTTTGTTCGGTCAGTCAGATGCTGTGACTGCTGGTCAGCCCAGCAGGACAGATAAACTCTGGATTCTTTGAGGTCACACCAGTCAGTTTCACCCAAGATCAAAAATACACCTGAAATGCAAAGACAAATCTTTTAACATACAGTACAACATTGTTCACGTCTCTTTGAGTTTTGACATTACTGGACCATTGTGTTCCATTGGGAATTCTTCATTTGGTTTAGATGAAGTTATCTATATAAGATCAAGCAAAGGTAAGGGTCATAATGTAAACCAGTGAGCAGAATTATAGTGCATAATGCCTATGCTGCCTCATCTCTCTGCTGCAATCAACCTGTACCCATACTGTTATCAAACTGCACTTTTACCTGATTATTTCACAATTCCATAAGTTGCAACCCTACTACAAGCATAACGGCAATGTAAAACACACATATATCCAATTCTAAATATAGCTCTCAGCTATGTGTAGGAAGGATTACTGTGCTGGTGTAAAATGCCAGGTCTCTAGTGATGGGGGCTGTTTTCACTTCCTTATATAACACGAATTATTTCCCCTATTGACTCCATATCAATCAAGTACTTTATATCATAAAACAATACATCATCAACAAGAGGGAACTCAAATAATACCCATACGTATAACAGGTAAACATATAACACCTGTAACTATAACAGGTAAACATATAACACCTGTATCTATAACAGGTAAACAATAATACCTGTAACTATAACAGGTAAACATATAACTATAACAGGTAAACATATAACACCTGTAACTATAACAGGTAAACAATAACACCTGTAACTATAACAGGTAAACAATAATACCTGTAACTATAACAGGTAAACAATAACACCTGTAACTATAACAGGTAAACAATAACACCTGTAACTACATGTAACTATAACAGGTAAACAATAACACCTGTAACTATAACAGGTAAACAATAACACCTGTAACTATAACAGGTACACAATAATACCTGTAACTATAACAGGTAAACATATAACACCTGTAACTATAACAGGTAAACATATAATACATGTAACTATAACAGGTAAACATACAAAACCTGTAACTATAACAGGTAAATATATAATACCTGTAACTATAACAGGTAAACAATAATACCTGTAACTATAACAGGTAAACATATAATACCTGTAACTATAACAGGTAAACAATAATACCTGTAACTATAACAGGTAAACAATAATACCTGTAACTATAACAGGTAAACATATAATACCTGTAACTATAACAGGTAAACAATAATACCTGTAACTATAACAGGTAAACATGAAATACCTGTAACTATAACAGGTAAACATACAATACCTGTAACTATAACAGGTAAACAATAATACCTGTAACTATAACAGGTAAACATATAATACCTGTAACTATAACAGGTAAATATATAATACTTGTAACTATAACAGGTAAACATATAATACCTGTAACTATAACAGGTAAACATATAACACCTGTAACTATAACAGGTAAATATATAATACCTGTAACTATATGTAACTATAACAGGTAAACATATGATACCTGTAACTATAACAGGTAAATATATAATACTTGTAACTATAACAGGTAAACATATAATACCTGTAAATATATGTAACTATAACAGGTAAACATATAACACCTGTAACTATAACAGGTAAACATATGATACCTGTAACTATAACAGGTAAACATATAATACCTGTAACTATAACAGGTAAACATATAATACCTGTAAATATATGTAACTATAACAGGTAAACATATGATACCTGTAACTATAACAGGTAAACATATGATACCTGTAACTATAACAGGTAAACATATAATACCTGTAAACATATAATACCTGTATTTGAGTAACTATAAAAAATATATTGTCTAATCCTTTTCAGTCTCACAAAGTCTATTCCTATATAATATTAGCTCAAATACAACACCTGTTGCTATATGCAGGAACATAAATTATACATACGAAAACATTAATCTTATCACACAACAATGACAAAGCTATATACGGTAGGCAATGGTACAACTGAAATTTTTACCCCTTAGATTTTAATCCACTACAAATGCATTACTACGAGAACAATGGTTTATTCCTTACTGAAATCCAGTCATTGTCCTTATCTGTGAGTATATACCTTGATTATGATGTGTGTTTCTATAAGGAGAATTGGACTGGATAACCAAGGGCTAACTATCACTAAGATATGCTCAAGTGATGAGATGAAATGTCACGTTTCCCAAGGTCGTCAGTCTATTATAGCATTAAAAAAAAACTGCCACCTCCTCCTCGTTCTCACATTATATAAGGTGCAGGTACGTTCTGGTTATCCAAGGGATGACAAACTGACAACCTGCCAGCAGTGTACTGTACCAGGGCCATCATTGTACTTTTCTACCTACAAGGATTTCTAGAAATAGATGGATATAATGCTCCCACATATTCAGTGTCCAGCTAACTTTTGACATTAGCAATTTGTTTCAAAGATAGTATATTGAGGTCTTTTTACTGATCCATAATTAAAGCCACTTGATCACATATGTTTACCAAGATATACATGTTATGTGGATCAACAGTCTTGCCAATATGTAAGCAAAGATCAATTTACAAACAGAGGTATGCATATGATACCAGTAACCTACAGAGTATTGAATTAAAGATCAACAGAAAAAGACTTTAAACTGTACTGGCATTAATGATATTACTATATAAAAGTAAAGATGGATGCTGTCTCTATATAACTTAAATTACTATAATCTGCATCTATAAATTTTAAATTACCTGCCGACAGCATATATATACATAATGAAATAAAACTATATGTAATTGTTTCACCTCTGTGGCGTAGTATTTCCGTTATATATTTTGGCAGATATGAAAAAGGTATTTTCAGAATAACAGTAAATTCAAATTAAACTTCCATTCTAAAATGATTGCATCAATGTAATGTGACCTTCAAATAGATAAGCTAAAAATATTTCACCGGTGGCAACATGCTTTTCTTCTATTTTTCTATAAATTCAATTTATTTTCACTGTTAACAGTCCTCATGTAAGGACAGACTCCAAGAATATCAATATAGTCATCCACATAGAACTCTACATCCTTGTTTTCAGAATAATCAAGGTCATTTCTCTCATTTTCAACCCAAGTTAAGTTATAGAGTGACGTCTTCATCAAGTTACTTAGCTAATGAGAGTCTTTAGTAGAATTCCCAGCACTACTGTTTTATTGATTAGCAACAGATTGTGAAAGGTCCCTGGTCTGTGCAAATCATCTTGGTCAGGTAAACTGCAGAAAACATAGAGCTTGAAGGTGTGAACCTACTATAATCTCAGAGAACAAGGCATCAAACTAAATGATGTATAGAAAAATAATGATAAAAGGAAAACTCAGTAAACATGGTGAAGGAATAAACAGGGTGATGCAGGCAGAATAGACTGTTTTCTTTCTAGTAAAACCGGATTCATTAAATATTGAAAAATCAGCTAGACCAGCACATATAAAAACTGGTGATCATCAAGGTATATAGTTCAAATGGTAGAGTTAATACAGAAGAAATGGGCACAGGTATTTGGAACATGAAAACAAAAATTATTGTTGCTGGATAATGCATTAGTAACCATTTTAACTAATTTGCATGTGTGAAGCAATTAGAAAAACAATATTTCAGTTTGTGTGCAATTGGAAAAAGAAAAAAAATTAAGCGTAAAACTATAATTGGTTAATTATGGCCGAGGAACTTGAAACATGTGTGACATAGAATCACATATTGATATGCTCAACGTAATTTGGGCAACAAGGTTAATGGATAAATTGAAAGAAAACTGGAGAGCAACTACTATGGAAATTTCTTACTCTTCTGGACATAATCTGCATACCTTAAAGATCAATATGGGAAAACTGGATAATCTAAAAAATTTTAAAAAAAAAAAGGTATATTCCTTTCATGTTTTCAATATAAAATTCAATATAAAAAGAGTTCCCACATAATATCTCAAGACTTTTGTGTTCTTATACACTTTGTAACCAATAGTTATACTTATAAACTGTAAAATGGTGCTGTTCATGACATTTTGAAGAAATTTTGCTTGTGAACCACTTTTCTTGACTGCTTAGTTGATGTAGTGATTGGGTTAAAAGTGTCAAGAATTTCAATGTTTTCTAGTTGTTTAGGTATTTCTCTTGAGAATAACTCTGAAAGCCTTTAATAGATTTCAACTATCTTTTGCATGTATTATCACCACAAATTTTCAAATTATTGAATTGTAACTTGATGGATCATTTTTCTGGATTTTTTTGTCCCAAAATCAATATCAACCAGCCTGTTTCTTCATCTTGGAAAAACTGTCCAGTGAGGTGAAAATTGCAAAGAATAAGCACAGTGACCTCATCGTTTTTAATCCTGTAAAATCTCCATGGAAATTTCTCTATCCAACATAAAGTGTTACAAAAATAGCAGTAGATCTAAGTCCTTTTGAAACATTTTCATTTCTTGGTTTCTATGCAGCTCAACAAATCAAATAAAAACTGGAAATTCTTACATCTCAGATGTATATCCTTAAAGTCAAATACCTCACTTTTGAAAATCAGTATTAGATTCTTGACGAAAATTGGGGAAGGTCATCATAAACACTACTTTAGATTTACTGGTATTATAAAAGAGGTGTTATGAGGCAGAATTCCTTGTCATGAAATATTTGTTGCGTCAGGGACAACCATTTTTGAAAAAAATCTAAAGCAAGGCAAAAGACCATGTTGAAAGATTTCTCATCATCAAATGATGTTACATCCTGACCAATAAAGGAGAAGATGGTTCTCCTTCGAATGATTGAGAAAACACAGCTGTTATGTAGAGTTTCTGGATGTAACAGGACACCAAAGACTGTTCATTTGGGAACGTATCTCCTTCTCAAGTATATTTTGTCAAATTCATGAAAAATAATGATCCATTTAAATAATGCATTACCTTGAATATTTGTAACATCAATTTTAGGCCATCAAATAAGTTTTTTGTACTAATATATGAAGATACATTTTTTTCTATGTCGCAACTTAATAAATAACATCTATAAAGATTTTCAAA